AAAGATGAGGACAATCATCCGAATAATGTAAATAATATATATATATATATATATATATATGTGTGTGTGTGTGTGTGTGTGTGTGTGCATGTGTATTCAAGTGGATGTATAGCTTTATTTCAATGTCTGACATAGTTATATCTGGTTTTATTGCCTCATATTTTAATGTTTTCTGCCAATCAAATATTCCATTTGTTTCTTTTTATTTTATTAAAATCTTATTTAAAAAAATAAATAAAGAACAAAAAATACCAACAACAACAACAACTGAAGAGTAAAAAAGATAAAAAAATACTTGGTTAGCAATGATTGGACGGAAGAAAATCACTTTAAAATCAGTTAATGTTTTCTAAATAGGAGTAAGCAGCAGCAACTTTTCTACATTTCTCTAAATATACTCAGAGGGCCAACAGTTGAACAAAAAGACAGGCAAATGGAAAAAGCACATTGATTAGACAGTGAAACATCTAAAAGAGAAACAAAATAAAATTATCTTTTCTTGTTCCTCTTAAATTAATTTCTTCCTGCTTGTTGTATCTATTAATAAACTCAAAAGTCAATGAACAATTTAGAATCCAAAGAAACAATTTCTTCTCCCCATTGCTCTCTCTTCTTTCTATCTCACACTGAAATATTTTTAATTAAAAAGAATTAAAAGCAAAATTCCCATAAAAAATTAAATTCAGGATGTGGGTCATCATTGTTCCACACAGCTTCCTTCACTTTCATATCTGTAAACATAAGTATTCTTAAGAATATCGTAAAGATGTTTTTTTATTGATTGTGCCACAATGTTTTGATTAAAAGTTGTTCTTTGAGACAGATTGTAAATCTAGGCTATAGAAATTATTTTGTACTGTGAGGTTTACCTATAGTTTTTTTTATATTCTTTTTAATCATTTCAACCCCAAGTAAAGCAATAATGCCACTAAAACACAAAGGGTTACTGGGATTAAAAGTATATGAGGAAACTTTAGAAGAAACCTGAAACCCATTCCTAAACAGGAAACATGCATTCATATCTTTCTCAAGAATTGTGGGTCAATAGTGTACATTTTGTAGATCTTGTATTTCATCAAATATTTAAATGACTGTGTTCACTAATGCCTTTTATTCAAGCTGTTTAATTGTATTTTTTGCTATTATTTTTTAAAATACCTAGACAAAGGGAATTTTTTCTAAGAAATAAATGAAAGAATACTGAACTGTTCCATAAATGTCTATCCTCCTGAATGTTAGTAAATGTGGGACAATTTCCCGACAGAAGAAGAGATCCAAAGTAAAAGTGATTTGGTTTTATTGAGAAATACTGAGAATTGATTGATAAAGCAAATGAATAATGAGGAATTTCTAAATAAAATAGGAATGAGAAAGACATATATGAATTAAATTCTATTTATATTTTTCAACCAAAAACTCATATCAGAAGTTTTGTTTAGATAAATAATAATTACAAGGTCAAATACCGCCAAAATACTTGACTGACATAGCTGTCAACATACCACGTGTTATTTTTGGACCATTTACAAAATAACAGTAATAACTCCTTTCAGCACTTCTGCAAATTTGAGAAAAAGATTTGTGTGAGATAGTGTGAAATTATTTTCTCACTAATGAAAACATTGTAATCAAAATGTTCATACATCTATGTGAAATTAGATTTGGCATCTCCTTTATAGATATAAAAATAGAAGCATACTGCTTCTCGAGTTCAGAAACAATTTTGGAAGCCAGTTTGGTCTACATGTGTGTGCACATGCACACAATGAAGAGGCAACTAAGGACTTGTCTATGAACTCACAGACACATTAGTAAGACTGTCCACAATTTTCATAATGCACCAAGAACACTCAAATACTTGATAAAACAAACTTCCCTGCAAGGAAAATGGAACATTCTATTGTTATTGCATATTTCTGAAAAGAATATATAAATGTTATTTCAAGTTATGTTCTGCTTTTACTTTACCTTCAGAAAATAAGGTTTTTTATGTTTCGTCTAAAAATGTGTTGTTGTTGTTGTTAAATATTTGGAATCCAGAGACTCAGCAACAAAAACCTAAGTAGATGGATCTCAACAGACACCCATTGTTAAAACCATAAACAAACAGTTGTAACTTCTGGAATCCTTTGGAAAACATAATTCTCACAGGACATATTCGGAATAGGAACATAGAGAGAAAAAGCAAGCAATTTACCTAATGCATTTATGTGAATGGATGGTAGAGCAAGGAGAAGACGGAATGCTAAATTTAATTTCCTGTCCCTTATTGCTATAAGGAATAAGGGACAGGAAATTAAGAAGTGTCATAATTACACTTGTCCTGTGTGGGATATGCTAGATAAATGATGGCAACATGTTTTTTGGTCTTCCAGATAATGTTCAATTTTCTGAGATTAATTATTTTTATTATTCCATAATTTACTTAAGAGGCTGCAAATGTTCCTACACCAATATTTATTTAATGAGAGGGTAACCTCCATTGTAATAGTTTCTTGTAACCATAAACTCTATGCTAATAATTTCCTGTATAATAGGAGAGAGCTATGGACGAAAGGTTTATTCTCCCGTTTGTATTTCCCATATTATAGGCAATTATTATATCCATGATATAATAGTACTATATTTTAGAACACAACACTATACTTTGGAGCAGAATAGCTGAATGGAAAAAGGAATGAAAAATATTCTTTGTTCTCAGGGAGACTTTTATACCACTAAGACATACACAAATGTATATATATTTATTTACTCATGTCCTATACAGAGAATATTATATCATATATCTACACAGTCAAGCAGTGTGAAAGTAGAACCAAAATATAATGCCTCAAATTTAATGTGGAGATTCTTCTGTGTTTCTGGAGAAGCCATGTTTAGGACTCCAGATTCAATCAGGCCAGATTTATCTACTATGTTCTGAGCAAGAACATATTCTGTGAACTGGAAACAGTGAGTCTTTGGTTTTCCCAAATAGAGGACTGCTAGCTAGATGCAGTTTCTTTCTATAACTGGGCAAGATATATTCGCAAAAGGGAAATAGCAAACCAAATGAAGTAACTGCCTCTTTTGTCACTGTATGGAGTGATATCACTAAGCTGTCATCTCATGACCCATGTGACTTCATCTCCACCAAAGGGAGATGATTGCTTTTTGTATCCTTTAGCTATAAGCTCTATGTAAATAGCTTCTTGTAACCAAAAGCTCTATGCAAATAGCATCCTATAACCAAAAGTTCTTTGCAAATAGCTTCTTGTAACCAAATGCAAATAGAGATTTTGATTACAAGAAGATATTCTAATAGTTTCTCCTCTTGCACTTCCCACGAAGAAAGGTTTATTCTCCCATTTGTATTTCCCATATTATAGGCAATTATTATATCCATGATATAATAGTATTATATTTTAGAATACAACACTGTACTTTGGAGCAGAATAGCTGAATGGAAAAAGGAATGAAAAATGTTTTAATTTATTCTAATAGTTTCTCCTCTTGCACTTCTCACTAAGAAAGGTTTATTCTCCCATTTGTATTTCCCATATTATAGGCAATTATTATATCCATGATATAATAGTATTATATTTTAGAATACAACACTGTACTTTGGAGCAGAATAGCTGAATGGAAAAAGGAATGAAAAATGTTTTAATTTATTCTAATAGTTTCTCCTCTTGCACTTCTCACTTACAGAACTCTCTTCTGGATTCTTAATTTCTTGTCAGTTACAATTTTCTAAAATTTAAATGCACTGTCAATCCTCCTTCTCTTTAAATCCTGGTCTTTTATTGTCCTCTCTCTCCTTAATAACATTTTCTCTATTTCTTATACTCACAGTAATCACATGCTTTGGCTTAAAAGAGTAAAGTCATAAGGTGTTTTTAAAGGTTCACTCAAATTACTGCATGTACTTGTATGCTCTTTATGAATTCTCTGCTGATAAATGATGATTTTCTTTTCTTTTCTTAAAAATCATTGTTGAATATAAAATAAATACTTGATGTGGTTTATTTTATTCAATTGGAAGAAAACTGTAATCAAAACAAAGAAATAAACAACTAAAAGTTACAAAGTTGATAAAAGGAAATTTGAGTTGAATGTTAGAGAAAAATATGAAATAATTCCAAGTATTAAAAACGAATAAATAGGAAGTTTATTTTTCAGAATCAAAACAATTTCCATGTGAATTTGCAGAAAAATTAAGGGTATGTCAGCTGTAAGTTATCATTTACAATTTTTAGGAAAAGTTTTTTTGACCTGCTCAACTGACTTTTAAATTTAGAAAAATGGTTTCTTCAAGAAGTTATGGAAATTAATAACTATTAGTGGGTAAACACATATTTCTCCTCATGTCTGATAAAGTGAATATTTTCATTTTTGGAAACAGAAAGACACCAGTCAGTGGTTAAAGACCTGTTTTTCTGATCTTCCTTGGAATGAAGAATACTTTTGTTCTTGAAGTTTTTTCTTTTCTTGCATGCCACAGAGAATATTTTCATTTTAAACCAGACTCTAATTATTCAGTGTTTAAACTGTTGTTTTTGCTCTTCTTTCTTGACAGAGATAAACTAGTTTTGTACAAGATACGCACTGGTGAGGAATAACAAATTTATTATGAAATATCTAGAATAAAGAAAATCATCGCTTCATTTAGAAGAGCTGTCAATATCTTGACTTGAACAATATTTACAGGGAGAATTCTTTTTTTGTGATTCAATGATTCAAACTGAATTCCTTATTACAAATCACTGAGCTCACTATATCAATTTTTATCCAACCAACAATAATTTTTGGAGGATATCAGTTGATTTGTTTTTTATGGCTTGTCAACCCTTGCAGGTTATTTAAAGCCAGAAATATTTTTATATTTAAAAAAAAACATTTTGAGATAATAATAGTTTAGTGATACAATTCTTACAAAGTAACCCATAGCTGGGGAGAGAAAGGGTGGATTCATATTTTTCTCAATGCTGTTACCCACTACACCACCCATACAGCCAAGACAACAGCATCTGGTATTCCCAAGCAGTCACCCATCTAGGTACTGACCAGTCTCTATGTTGCTTAACATTGGTGATCATGTGGGAACCAATGTTTCAACATGATGTGGCCATAAGCATCTTGGAGGCTAATTTTGTTTCATAAATCAAAACTATGTAAGAAAGAAGAGAACGTGTTTTCTCAGTGGACTTATTCAACTTTTATAACAAGGCAATTATAAGAGAACTATAAATTCAACCAGAATTTATTATTTGTGGGCACAATCATAACATAAGATACAAAGATAATATTGTGTTGATGGCAGATATAAAAAGAAAACTGTAGATCTTCTAGACAAGGTAAAAAGGAAACACCAGAAGAAGCCATATCAATTGTAAGAAGACATAATGTATGGTTATACAGAAGAAAAATAGTTTCAGATAGGTGTCATGCATTGGAATTAAAATCAAGCACATGTGGAAGTGTAAATATCTGGGAAATATCTTAAAGAATGATGAAAAATGAGACACCAAAATCTGATATGCGTTAGAATAGCAAAAGATGCATTCTAAAAGGCTAATTGCATTAGACACAAAGTGTCTGCAACTGCTATGTAACAACTTTTCTCTGTGAAAGATGGACATTTTTATCACAGACTTGAAGCAACAGAAATTTGGTTGTACAGGAGGATACTGAGAATACCATAGATTGAAGAAATGAACAAGAAACACTTTTGAAGGAAAACAGAAAGAAAAAGGACATTTATACTTAGAATCAGAAAGGAAAACCATGCAATTTCTGGGACATAATGAGGAAAAAAGAATTTGACACTCACAGGAGATAATGAGAGCAAGAGGGACAGAGAAAATCAGCATATAACCCACCTAAGAAGCTTGTGTAAATGGATATCAGATCAGAGAATGGGTGAGGGACAAACACTACTTAGATCTACAAAGGATGGATATCTATAGAGAGCCATGACTGCCTATGAAGGTAATAATCATAACAATAATAATAATAACAATGATAATGGATGGCTACTAACCATTATCGAAGCACACTTGTCTGCCAGGCCCGCATCAAATCTCTATTACAAATGTCTGCTCAAACAACAGAGACCACCTGTAGTTTATACTGCAACTAAGTGGACCCTGATTTTCTTGGACAGAGTTTATAATCTGGTATAATTCATTTTTTTTGTACAAAGCCTGCATGCTCAAATGCTCAGTCATGATGATTTGTGGTTTCATGCTAGTACAATCATAGATGGCTTTCAAATTATTCTGTCTACCCAATTTCAATAACAAGGCTTTGGGCTAACCCATGTCCTGGTTCTCAGGCACTTTTCAAATGTGCCCCATGCTCGGATTACCTCCCCAATCTTATATTATCAAGAAGCCACCTCCCTGACCAATCGATCCTGGTTAGATTTGCACCCAGGTCTCATGGCCAGAAAGCAAATGTTCTAACCATTCAGTCATGCAATCATATGATACCTAAGGTACGCAGCTCAAAAAAAGTGTTCTCATGTTTCTGTCAAGTGATTTCTTGAACCCACCACTGTTCTCTTAATGGTGCTATACTGCTTTCTCCACTCTGTGCTCTAGGGACTGGAATTCTACTGATGAAACTTCACTAAAGACATCCAGATAGAGAGGTTCATGGGTTCTCTTGTCTAATTAGAAGTTATCATATGGTGCACAGGGGATTGCTAATTGAATTTTTTAATTAGTGACATTTCTTTATTAATAAATGCTCGTTTTTTAGTCATATTTCTTTAAATTTTAACAGTGTTCTGTAGGAGACCCTGAAGATTAATGAATATGGCAGACACTTCAAGAGGAATGGGAAGTAGAGAGGCTAAAATATTGTGATAAAATGAAAATGACAGTGCTAATCTGAGCATTGTATAATAATAATGCTTCATCTAAAAAGTTCACATTAAAAATTAAATGATATAACAATGTAAAATTTAGGAGTCATCTACATCTAAAAGCTCTTTACAGTTTCTTATCTTTGTTTTTCCCTTATCCCACCTTTCCTATTTACACAGGCTTGTTTTGTAGGTTACCCACTGTCTTTTCCTACCCTGCTTTTCTTTAATATGCTTTGTGTGTGTTAAATTGTCCGAACCCTTTTTAATAAATTTTAATAAATTTGTCACTTTCTGAGTCTAAGTTTAAGTGTCTTTTGCTTTTTTTAAAATTTATTATGCATTTTTTTCTAACACTAAGCTTCTTTATTTTCTCTATTCAGAACAGAAAATTTCAACTCCTTAATGTTGCTACATTACTGAAGAAACATTTTCCTCCAGTCGTTCGACACTTTAAGACAATTTTGTAGAATCTAAGTTTTTTTAAAAGTATCATCTGATAGATTTAGACAAGCAGACAAAAATTTACATAAAGAAATTTGCTGAAACAACCTGCTGACACATTGTGATGCTCAGGCCATAAAAAATTCGGAAAACTTCTGAATTATAATTAAATCTCATTTCAGTTCTTCAGACAACTGAGACACTCGTCTGTATCCCACTGTAACTTGACATCAAATCTGATGTCCACTTTCCATTCTCTGTTAAAACACTTCTTAGATATTTAAATTTTGCTTCATTTTGGTATTTCCAATTTGGAGTTTACATCTGAGGCTGTACTGTTTGCTGACAACCATGCATTCTGTCTTCTTATAATTTATGTTTAGTCCTTTCTTCTTACTTTCCTTTGCTACCTTCAATTTCTTTGGCAGTTAATTAGATAAAAGACAATCACAAATGATGAAGGGAGTGAATCAGTGATTAGCCTGTAGGCAAGATATTTTATGGATATGACATCAAAGAAAAATCATTATATTGGGATATTATTTTGATAAATACTTTAAAAAATGTATATCTGATTGTAGTATAAAATAACTGTTTTGATATAAAAATAAACAATGACTTTAGATAGCATTTGAGTAATGTTATCCTCATCTTATTATCTATTTAATTAAAATATGATAAATGTATAAATTTATCAGGAATCCTTATTATGCAAGTTTGACTATTGTTTGCTGCCCCACTTATATACTTGCACATTACAATGCTGAATTTTAGTAAATGACCGTATGCATAAAAATAAAAATAGAAAGTGTATGAACATAGAAATCAACACTGCATGGTGACCTTCAGTTTCAGACCTAAAGAAATCATCACATCATTTAAAAAAATGATGTGCCATCCATTTATAAAAGCTTCGTAGGTAGGTTATACATAGTTTTTCTCTTTCCCTCTTGTTTTCAATCTCATCTGTGAGAATCAAATTTTTGAATATGTCTCTATTCTACATATACTCTATAAATTGCAACTCTTTTTGATGTTAAATATAAAGGTATTTTAAGTTTCCGTTTTCCCTAAAACTTCATCGTTGCTCACACATTCAGTCCATGGTATTTTCCGCATCTTTCTTTAGAGCCGCATTTCTGTTGCTTCAAGTCTCCTCTACATCTGTGATAAGACTGTCCAGCATCAACTGCCATAGAATAACAGTTCAATACTTTTTTCTTTGCTTCCAATGAGATTTTCCTGTTTCTTAATAAATTGCTTAGCTTTTGGAAGGCATCTTTTGCTATCCCAATGCACCTTCATATTTCAGTGTTGTACTTTCTGTTCACCCAGATATTTAAATTGTTGTACATGTTTGATTATGTTATCTCCAATTTGTAATTTGTATATTGGGCTGTTCCTTTTTGCTAACAACTATGTATTCTGCAGTCTTTCAATTGAGGCTTATTCTTTTTTTCACACCTTCCTTCACTAGCTTCTGTAGGAGTTCTATTTTGTTTTCTACGTCTGTTATCAACATGAAGTCATCTGCATATCCATCACTGCCAATAATGAATCCTGGTAGAATTTCTAATTCTCTCAGAATCACCTCATTGTAAAGGTTGAACAAGTCTGGCAAGAAGACAGCCTTGTCTTACACCTCTTTCTATTTTTGTATATTTACTGAATTCCTTTTCTATCCATGTGCAAGAATTTTGCTGCCAGTATAATGTTGGATTATTCTAATATCCTTCCTAAATATGACAAGATTACCTAACAGTTCTTTGTGATTTAGATTATCAAATGCATAATCTATAAAACATAGGTAAACATCCTTTTGTATTTATATTGTTCTTTATGGCAACATTCTGAGCGTAAATATCACATTCCTTGTTTCAGTGTCTTTAATGAACTTGCACTGTTTTTCTTCTGTTTCCAGTCTAATCCTTCTGAGTGCTTTATTCATTAAAAAAAAGTCAAATAATGTCAGAGTGCAGATATTCACAAATATCTGCAGCTGTGCTTTGAGCCTGGTTAACAGAAATCTGTTTGAATATTGTTTTACCTTTAAATATGCATTCGTCTCATATGTGTGCATGCCTCAAGACAGCAATTAAGACTTTGAAGTTGAAGTTCTGTTCATCAGCATGTTTATTAAAAGTCAAAAGGGTAAAACTAAAATAAAATATAAATACACATACATGACTGAAAAAAAAAAAAACAAACAAAATTGTAAAAAGCAATATGGCAAAAGCAGCTGTAGGTTTGAACATAGAAACAAAACCACTTGTCTAAATGTGCAAATGAAGGTAATGAATATATATAAAGTTTGTTACAGGAATACATCTTAATGTTGTAGTGTAAATTCTCAGAAAAAGTAACATTTGGGGATAGTGTGTAAACAGGGAATACATAGTGAAAAGGATTCTATATAAAGTGATACAAACGTAAAATGAATATATAAAAGGTAAACAATGTTCGAATAATAACATGACATTAAAGGAGACAAATTTAGAAAGAAAAGGTTTTAAAGGTTACATACTGGCAATGCTATTGTTGGGGGTAAGATTTACAAGGATGAGAAATATAAGAACCACCTTTTTGGCATCATGCTTTACAATGCTGGTTCTGACACCAAATAAACCTTACAGAAAGTGGTCAGAAATGGTGACCAATCTAAAAAGTAACTGAACTGAAAAAAGGGATGAACAAAGGGTGAGTAAATCAATAGGCTTGTACAGAGGTAATAAAACAAAATATACATTTATGCAAGTATCTGAAATAATACTAATCTGTAAATGTTTGTAATTCTTCAATATCATTGATATCAATGGAA